AATCCTAAATCCTAACTTAGATAATGTTCTGCACTATATGTGTCTACTTTAAAAAAAATGTATTTAGGATAGGGTCTACAGGGTCTCACAACATAGACTGCACTTGCAGTGATTCTCCTGTTTTCAGCCTCCCAAGTATTGGGATTACAGGCACACATCACCATGTCCAGTCTCAATCGCTGTCTCAGCATGCCCTGCGGGTGGGGCTGGCACAGCATGCTGGGGGTTGGGGATTGGGAATTGGGAATCGAACCCTGACCTCTGTGCTCTGTGTAAGCAGGCACTTTAGTCCAAGCTATCTGGCCAGCCCTTGTGTCTGCTTTTTTTTTTTTTCCCCTCAGCCTTTTTTCTCATTCTGGCAGCAAATTATCAGAGCTTCCATCCCCATTCCAACATCTTTCCAGATGACTGTATCATCAAGCTGTACCACATGCTCTATACCAAACTGTGCAAATTCTTCATTTCTGCTGTGACTCTCAACATAGTTCGTTCAAATTTTGTCTCAGGTATTTTAAGATGGAGGAAATGAAATCTTGGTTTTGGATATCTATGTCAAAATTCTAAAGGTGAGGAAAAAGAAAACCTTCCTTGAAGCAGACCCTTGCAGTGTCAGGATGAATGGAAATGAAGGGACTTCAAGGAGGAGGTGAAACTGGCAGATCCAGGGCTTTAGTCAGGACAGTTGCTCTTCCCTGGCTTTGACAGGCCTCATGGAGTGCTTCCCTGATCGAACTCAGAGCCGGTGATGGTAGGAACCATCAAGTTTTATTTTGCATTTCTTAAATGATCTCAGCACTGTCTCCTTTATTGATTTATATATAAAATTTTGAAAGCTCTTGCTCTGAATTTTATTTTTGTGGTGCTGGAGATTGAAGCCAAGATGTTGCTTGTGCCAGGTAAGTGTTCTACTAATGGACTATTTTCAGCCCCTAAAATATAATTTTTAATACTTTCCTATCTTATCTCAACTAGAATAAAGGCTGGGGTTTTTTTTGCTTTCACTGTTACCCTTAACTAATATAGTTCATTGTGACCAGTAAGCATTTGTTCTAGTGGATACAGTAACAACATTTTCTGCTTATTTGCATAAAGTTCAACAAATTTGTAACAAGCCTGGTAATTCAATTCTCAGCAGGGCACATTTTAAAAATTAAGAGATGCCACTATACTGAGTGCCAGTTTATTTGTGAGATACTTGAATAAGAATGTGAGCAAAGTTATAGTAGCACAAGTTTGAAATACAGAAGTAAATTATGAGTTCATAGGTAGGTTACATATCTTCCTTCCATGCTTCAGAAACAGTAGGATTGCATTGATGAACTTCTTTTTCCTCCTCCTCTTCTTTTTCTTCAGTGTATTCTTCACAGTTCACTTGTTGATTGCTTCTGATCTACTTAGTGCTGGCCTACATAATAGAGACAGCGCAAGAGGCAGGGACCCACGATATGGGGAAGGACCCTCCTTCACCTCAGTTAGGGGCAGCATGGCCAGAGAGATCCTGGAACAGCGGTCCTCATCAAACACTGTCCCTTCTTGTCTTTCTGAGCAGAATCCAAATCTCACCATGAACCCCAGGAAAGTCCAGCTTGCTGGGACAGAAGAGGGAGGTGACTGGGGGAATGACCAGTCATTGGACTAAGACCTATACTTTGGTGACTGGAACCCAGCAAGTGCATACCTCAGAAACATGAAGTGTGCCGCACCCACTTCCTGCATTGCATTCTAGAGAGGACAGTTTCCTGCCCTCTCTAGGATCCCTGGAGAATTTGCCTCTGTTTCAGATCCTCTGGGCTCTAAACTCTGGCTTTGAGTGTCTAGAGGTCAGATTATTTACCCCAGAATGTATTGGGGTCCGGTTGGAGTAGGGGTATTAAATTTTTCTGGATACTGCCCTACACACTTACATTCTTCTTATATTTTTGTTGATGGTAGTAGTTGTAATAGTTATAATTATTACTGAACAATAAAACTTGGTGATTGTGTGTCTGTTGAGGCCCAAAACAAGGGTATAGCCTGGGAAAGATCAGGATGAATGGTTTTATACATCAAAGTAGTTGATTCTTTTGAGATGCTGATTAGTAGTTTATTAGCAGTTGAGCAGGCAGTATTTTCACAAACTTGACCTATGCAATATTAGGTAGGTAATAGGATTCTGAGCTTGGCTGCTTCCAGGATGGTTTTGAGGTAACAATAGTGGAATTACTATGGTGTTGTCAGTTTTATATTACTATGGCAAGATACCTGAGATGATAATTTTCTAAAAGGAAAGGTTTATTTGAGGTTGCTTTCGAGGTTTCAGTCTGCAGTCTATTGGCCCTATCGCTTTTGGGTTTGTGTTAAGGCAGCACACCATAGCGGTGACCATCTGGTAAGGAAGTGACTCACCCCTTGGTGGCAGGGAAGTCAAGAGAAATAGGAAGGGGTTGGAATTTCAGTGTCCCCTTCAAGGGCACATGCTCACTAGACTAACTTCCTCCCACTAGGCCCCACGTCCTAAAGATTTCACCACTTCTTAATAGCACCAGAGGCTGGTGACCAGACCTTTAATAGTGAGCCTTTGGGAGATACCAAAACCATAGCACCTTCTGTCATCACTTCCCAATTGTCCAGTTAAAGTGGCTATTTACTCGGTGGTACAGCACTTGCCTGGTAAGTGCAAGGTCCTAAATTTGAAAATACTAATAAGATTAGGAAATAATAATTTTAAATACTAAGTTTCCCAGACTTAATTTGAACTTGAAATTCTCCTGGCTCAGTCTTTTAGGGTGCTGGGATTACAGGTGTGTGCTACTACCTGGCTGAGAAGTGGACTCTTAAATAGGTGAGTCCTGTGGTCTTCTCACTGGACGGAGACAGCTAAAATGGCCTGAGACAGCTAAAACTTGGACAAACTGCACTGCTACCATGCTTTGCTCAGTTCTGCAGAAATTTTTTCCCACCACTCTTTTAGTGGGTACGAATTGAGATGTTCTCAAGTGGGGAAATTGCAGTTTAGGAGAGTTCTCCAAAGCAATAGCTATCCTAAGATATTAGAAGAGCTTTTATTCAAAGAAAAAAGTAATGTGTGATCTGGCTCAGGGATTTATCAGTAGAAACAATAGCTGCACATACCTGGGGCTATATTTCCAACACAAGCTAGCAATGGCCCAAGCAGTGCATTTTTCTGTCTGCTCCTCATTCCATTGTAATAGGGGTATTGTAGAATAGAAGGACTGTGTAATAGTATGAGGTTGGACTAGATTCATGAGACTCAACAGAGAAAAACAAGGAGGGTATTACAACATCTCCGAGAAAGCTGATGTAATTAAAAAAAGTACAAATACACTTCTTGTTTTTTTTTTTTTTCCGGTACCAACATTGAACTCAGGACCTTGCACTTGCCAGGCAGTGTTTATGCCACTAAGCTATCTCCCCAGCCCCTTGTTTTTCTTAATTTGAAATTACATTAAAAGATAGCATTTAGGGGCCGGGAGATGGCTCAGTAGAATAAGCGTTTGCCTGGCAAGCACAAGGGCCTGAGTTCAATCCCCGGTTCCACAAAAAAAAAAAAAAAAAAAAAGATAGCATTTAATTTGCTTAGGCAATGTTGCAAGTTCCTTCCAAATCACTTTTTAAAAATTTCTTTTTGATGCAGGGTGGATACAATCTTGACATAGTCAAGGATGATCATAGAGATTGGGAACAGGCAGAGTCCTGGGCCCTATCTGCTACTTGTGAAAAGCATGATTTATCTCAGGAGGCTGAGGCATGAAAGTTGTTAAGAGTTCAAGGTCATCCTTTGGTACATAGTGAGTTCAAGGCCAAGTTGAACTATATAGGAAGACTGTCTAAAAAAAAAAAAAAAAGCAAAACTAAAAACCATGATTTGTGCTTCCTTCTGGGGCAGCCACAGTCTGAAAAGCCATTTTTCCTATGAACCATGACTTCCCTTGGTTCTACATGTGCCTATAAGTATCTAAAAGCAGAGCAAAGCCTGACCTTCATTTTGTATCCTTTATTATTAGGCATCTTGGATTAAATCTCTTGAGATTTTCACAGAGATATGTTGTTCATTTAGGGAGTGTCTGGCTAGAGGCTTGCTGGACAGGGCTGATTAATCCAGAGTTTACCTGATCTCATCCCTATTTGAGGTTGAGGGTACCAAGATAAGAGGTTTATGTTCACCCTCCAGTCACTGTTTTAAACCTGTGATCCATCACCTGGATTCCAGGAAAGGTGGAGCCCCACATGACTAAATCACCATAGACAAAGAGAATCCTTTTTTGGGAATGAAACCATCCTTCAGCCATAAAGATTCCAAAACTCTGACACCAGGACTGAGATAATGATCAACTGGATCCCAGCCCACCAGCTAATCCTTGAACACTGGCCCCTGGCCTCTGTGGGTGGGCCAATCTGAATCTCTCTATGGAGTGTGTCCTTTCCAGCTACCTAAACTGAAATCATTTCCTGTCTTCCCTTTAACTTTCCAATTAAAGTTTTTTCTCCTGTAAATTTGTGCTTTACACTTCATTCCATTTTTACTAAACCAAAGAGCCACACTGACTGGTAACAAGGTCTCACTACATAGCCAGTCTGACCTCCCACTCTCAATCTTTCTACTTTAGCCTCCAGAGTGCTGGGATTAAAGGCATGTACCATCATACTGTTTTTCATACTTTAAGAGGATAACTGTCCTGCAAATCTAGTTCCTCCACAAGCCATCATAATCTTTAAAAGATCAAGGCATACCAAGGGGTCACAATGCTTCAGGGCTCCTGTCTCAGTCTCAGATAGGCCTACCCAGCCTATCTGCATACCTGAGTCATCCTAGCCAGGAGGACAACTGTTTGTTTCTTCCATTCCAGCTTGTTTAACCTCATCCTCTCCCGAATTCCCCAAGATCCTTAATGTGCCAGACAGTGTCTGGTCAATAATATAGGTGTTAAAAGGATTATCAACAGTCAAGGAATACAGGAAAGACAAGAGTTTATTCTGGTGAGAATACATTGCTACAATGGACATCAAGCAAATTTCCAAGACAGGAATCGAATGTTCAGTGTGAGAGATTGTGGTTTTTGTAAGAAAATGTAGAAGTGGGAAAGGGTCTGAGTTGGCAAATGGAACTATCTTAGATATATTTTTCAGGGCATGCTGTGTCTTATTGCTCTTCCAGAAACACGTCATAACAAGTTGTGCATCAAAGTTGCTAATTGCCAAGGTCATTTACTCCCATCTTCCAGAAGCCCTTTAATTTTTTTTTTATTACAAAAAAGCAACAGAACTATCATTTCAAGATGATATTTTTACATGGAAATGCACAGGACTCACAGATAATTTGTAGAACAATTAATCTAGACAAGCTAGTGACTAAAAGATCTTTGTATCTTAAGTCTTTGAGAGAAAATGGATCAGGGCTCATTGGGATAAGCAGGCCTTTATTTTTACCATGTTTATCTACTCAGGATTAGCACAAGACCTCCTGACTGCCCAAGCATGTGGATTCCATCAGCAGAGAAAATTTGGTGCTGAGAATTTTAACCTTTTTTGTCAATTTCGCGTCCTCCTACTACCAAGGCGCCATTAGTCAGTGGTATTTCACACTGCGTATGTACCCTTGTGCCGGTTTCTTATTGGCCAACTCAAGGAAGCTGGCCCATTAGACTTGCCATGCCTCCTCACCCGGAATACGTGCCCACTTGGACTGGCCACCTCCCTACGCAGCGCTGGCTGGCGTCAGGGAGCAGGGTGGAGGTGAGCTGTCCCAACGTTTGTCGCAGTCATTATTGCTGTAATGACTAGAAGCGTCCACTAGATCAGCAGAGCGGGCGGTGCAACAGCTGAAGAAGGTGAAAAAGCCAAGAACGGTACACAACGTGCTGGACCGGCGACCGCTAACCATCAATCACTGATACCAGGCCGGAGGCCGGAGCTCCCTCCACGGCCCCCCAGGGGCCCCCATCCGGAGGCCCTCCACGGCCGGAAATGCCACCGAGAAGCGCCCGCCCCTGGGTAGTCTAGAGCGGCCCGGAAGAGCTGGCGCGGCTCTGCGGAGCAGTGTGTAGGTGACGGGACGGTAGCAGAGCCCGCCTCTCCGCTCGGGTGAGTCCCCCGGAAGCCGTTCTGGGGTGCCGCGGGAGGGGTCCCTGTTTCGTCTCCCCAGGAAGAGGCGCCTGGCCGTGGCTGAAGACTGCCCTGGTCTTTTGGATCGCGCGGAGGCCCGGGCTCGAGAGTCTGTTTGTCTTCAGTCCTGGTTCACCCGAAGCCCCGCGGTTTGAGAGCTCCGCAGTCCGAACTCGGTGACCTGTCCTGGGTGTGCGCTGTGAAGGCCCGCTTCGCGCTTTGGGGACCGTGCCTTTGCTTACGAGGGAAGTGGGAGGGGGGCAGATCCTCCTTTGGGGTCCTCTTGAGGCCAAGCAAGGAGCTGGGCGAGGGCCCTTGGGGAGGGTTGTGGGAGGATGTAACCCTGTCACGTCCTTGGGTTTGAAGGACACCGGTCAAACTTAATTGGAATCGCAGCTCTTCCTTGTGTTTTTAGACTGCCCGCCTAGCCTGACAAAGGGCCAGCCCCCCCAACCCCCCCATGGAGTTTTATTGTTAGCTAGGCCCATTTAGTAGTTGAAAGTGGACTGACAAATTGTTACCAGCTAATTCCTTAGGGGCCTCTGGAAGAAACAATGAGTAATCATAACACGCATATTTCTTTGAATACAAACTTGAGCTTCCAACGAAGGTTGTAAATTTCAACTATTTTAGACTTTATGCAGAAAGCGCTACATTATTAGTTTGTGTGTGTGTGTGTGTGTGTGTGTGTGTGTGTGTTGTTCTTATTGTTAAACTCTATGTAGTTAAGGCTGGCCTTGAATTTGGGTGATCCTCTTGCCTCAGCTTGCCCAGCCCTGGGATTACTCATATGTGTCAGCATGCTCTGCACCCCCCCCCCTTTTTTTTCTTCTTAAATACCACAAATTCTGAGTTTAGTGGAGTTCAGATAAACCTTCATACTTGGATTTAAGATTTGGATCTGAAGTATTTGAAGTTGAATAATAACTATGTTTCTTTCTGTTTGTTTTGGGTGGTTAGTCATTATTAACCAGCTTTTATTGAGTATCTACAGTGTGTAAGATATTTTGCTAAGTCCTCCGGACATGCAACAATATGGTATTTTATCTTATTCCAATCATTTTTCCTAATCTCACCCTGCAGTGATGGTCATTGTTCTCCAGAACAGGGATGGAGGAACTGTCAGCCCAAGAAGCCTCAGGATCACCAAGGGTCCGGTTTCAGTCTTTGGAGACCCAGTCTGAGTGTCTCTCCCCAGAGCCTCAATTCATGCAGGACACCGACATGGAGCAGGGACTCACTGGGGGTAAGGCAGAGACAACACTTGTATCCAGCAGAATGGGAGTTAGAGGGGCTTCTGGGCCTGCCTACTGCCTGGTATGATGAGGCCGACAACTCCAGCTAGAAGATGGCCCTTGGAGGGAGGACCAGCCCGGGCCCCTCTATTAAGGATGGTTTGTCTTTAATAAGCAGTGTGGTAGTCACTTACTTTGTGGCTTTGTGTCTTTCAGACAACCTTCGCTCTATCCCAGTTACCACATCTAGAATAATTTCTGAGCTATGTTGCTTTTGCTGCATCTCACAGTTCTTGCTTAGCTCTTAGATTTAGGACCTTTGCCTGCTCCTGTTCCCTTCACTTAGTTTCTCTTTGCTTGCTGACCGTGTGCTTTGCCACTTGCCATTCTGTTGCAGTTGCAGTGTTTGTGACTAATCTAATCTTGGTTTTGTTTTTGTTTTTTGGTATATTTTGAGACAGGGTTTCACTATGCAGTTCAGTCTGGCCTTGACTTCACTTTGTAGCCCAGGCTGGCCTCGAACTCACAGCAATCCTCCTGCTTCAGCCTTCTGAGTGCTGGGATTACAGGCGTGTACCACCACGGCCAGTTTGTGACTGATCTAGTTTTGATTAAGAAAGCAGGCATTTAATTCCTTGTGTGAACACAATGCCTGTTTGAAATGCATTCATGTTAGATATTGACTATACAATTACATTTTAATGCTTTGTATAGATAGGTTGGCCAATTTTGTTATTGTTGTTGTTAAGAACTGTGTCTTAGATTGTTGTAGCCAGCTGTGGTGTCAGAAGTAACTTGTGTGTCAGTACTACCACAAGAGGAGTGCCACAGTGTGTAGGGTGCTGTGGGGACAGTGGGGGACTGTGGAAAGGATTGTGAAGAAACACATGACTACTCCGTTTCTGGAAGCCCTACGCACATGTTACTGAGACAGTGCCTATTTGAAAGAGGAAAACTTACTGGAGTTTATAGAGCTATGTCTGAGAAGCTTAGAAGTCTACTTAATAACTCTGGCATTGATAAGTCACTACAAGTCTTTATGCTTTGCTTTACCCACTGCAGAGCAGGGACAGTGCTTACCTTTCTGTGAGAAGAATGTCAGGTTATAAGGATAAAGTAAAATAGATTTCCTAATGAAGTCCTGTGTCACAGACCTAAACACATGTAAGTCATACGAGTACTAAGGAGGAAGAGTAGAGCTACCCAGTACCTAATATGTATTCCTTGGTTTCAGTAGAATATTGACGTGAAAACGGGTCCCACTGACACCCCTTGGGCTGGAGAGGCCTCTTGAAGGGAGCCCCGTGGAGGGCTGCTCTTACTCTTGATCCTTTCTCCTTCCTCAGCTCCGCCTGTTCCCCAGGTGCCTGCTCTTCCCCACGAGGGAAGCCCAGGAGACCAGGCAGCTGCACTCCTGACAGCCAGGTACCAGGTGAGCTGAGGAACCCTCTGCTTTTTCTTAGGGACTGTTGCTGCTGGTTGAGTGTGGCCTCTCTCAGTCCATCTAGTAAACCTTGGCAGGAATTTTTTTCACTAGCAGACCAGTTTGGGAACTGATTCTCTTCAGAGAGCTAGACTTCACACAGGTGGCTTTCCCATGTCCCTGACAGCATGAACAGATCTTTATCCATCATGCTGTGAGGGATACTCACTAGACATTTAAGGGATGTGGGATTGTCTCCCTGTATTTTAATCTGTTCTTCATCTTCCCCAACGTAAGTACACACTGGATACCTTCTTTGTCACCATCTTCATTTCCTGGCCATGGTGCTACAGTGGCCTCAGTTCCCCAAGAGCAGCCAGGATGTATTATTTCAGGAGTTTGTGACATTCGAGGATGTGGCTGTGTACCTTACTCGAGAGGAATGGGGACGCCTGGACCCTGTTCAGAGGGACCTCTACAGAGAAGTGATGTTAGAGAATTATGGGAACGTGGTCTCACTGGGTAAGGACTGTCTTCTTACACCCACTCCATTTACTTACTTGAATTTCTTTCTTTGTTTCTGAGTAAATATGAAGTCTCTGAGAAGAAAAGTAAAGTGTGGCACAGATTTTAGGTCCCAGAACTTTTGAATCCTCTAATCTTTAAGGACATCTCTGAGAAGGATAATTAAAATTGCTTCAGAGTATCAAGAGGAGACATTCTACTCTTTGTCTAAGTTCATGTTTTCTGCTTTTCTGGGACATCTGTTCCTGTTAGCAAAGAAAAACTTGCTTTTGCTTTGCTTAATTTCACATTTTCCCCACTTTTTTTTTTTACTGCCCTTCTTCCCTCCCTCCCTTCTTTCGTCCCTCTTTTTCTTTTCTCTCTCTTTTTTTTTTTTAATTGAAGGATGCATCTGTTGTTTATTTTATTTTGTTCTTTTGGTACTGGGAATAGAACACAGGACCTTGCACTTATCAGACAGGCACTGTGCTGCTGAACTGTATCCCTGGCTTGCTCTTTCTTTCCTTCCTTTCTTCTCTCTCTCTCTCTCTCTCTCTCTCTCTCTCTGTGTGTTTCTCCTGCCCCCTTTCCCCCCTCTGGTATGTTTGCCCTGTATCTGTTTCCCATTTTCCTAAGAAGAAAACCTTTTTTAAAGAAACTATGATCACTACAGTCTTCTTTCAGTAGTCCCCTACCTCTTAAGATCTGCAAATTTATCTCCACACAGGCAAATTGGAGAGACTTGATAGAGTGGCGTGAGTCACTGTGAGTGCATTTCAGTGAGTCACTGTGATAATCCCAAATAACCACCCCCAGGGTAGCAGAAGTCTCAGACATTTTCCCCACACAAAGGTAGGGTAAGTTCTTGTTGGGCATGGTGGCTCATGTCTGTAATCCTAGCACTAGGAAGGCTGGGGTGGGAGGATCACTGTGAGTTTGAGGCCAGCCTGAGCTACATAGTGAGTTCAAGGCCAGCCTGAATTACATAGTGAAACCCTGTTTCAGAACACCCAGAAAAACAAAATAATTATTAATTCATGTCTGTGCTTTGTCACTTTTTTTTTTTGTGGCAACAGAGATTGAACTCAGAACCTTGCCCTTGCCACTCCGGCACTTATGCAGCTGAGCTATCTCCCTGGGTCCTCTCCTTTGTCATTTTGAATGGTACGCTAGGCAGCTGGAATTCAATACCTATAGTGCACTTGATGAGGATCAGCAAGGGGTTGTTGGTAGCCTCCTTGGATTGAGCCTTGTCCCTCTAGCTCTATCTGTTTCTCCCCTGCCTCTGTAAGCATGTACTATGTCTATATTTACTCTTTTCTCTCTTATGCTTTGCCTATATTGGTAGCATGCAGGACACTTCTTTGTCTCCCTGATTACACTTAGGAGTCACTCAGTCGGCTTTCACTGTGGGGAGGAAGTCTGCCCACTGGAAAGGTTTTTAGTATATTTTCCATTCCTGGCTCTTTGATCTTTATAGGCATACTTCTCCGCCTTCCTACCACCCGGATTCATTGTGTGAATTCCTGCCCAGCTCTGAGTCATACCCAGGCAAGTGCTTTCTCTGGAGAAACACTTGCAGTACTTTCAGCAGGAATCTCCAAGAGATGGCCCAAGTGTCGGCTTCCCATCGATAGTGCTCGTCCCTCCTCGGAAGCTCCTTTTCCACAATTGTAAGATACTAAACTTGGTTGATGGAACAGATGCCCTCTGGGATACCACCACTATGTAAAATTGTAGCTTCTCAAATGAACTTCATTAAATTTTTAATATGAGGGGCTAAGGAAGCCTTTCCTTGCAACCAGATGCATTTTGAACCTACTTTATTCAGAAATCACACTTGGTGGTCAGATGCTTACATTTCTGAGAAACTACAAAGTTCAGAAGTTCAACTCTGCCTGTTCTTATGTGGTCTTATGTTAGACTGTGGCACATGTGCTGTGTGCCCTCCTTTTCTGCAGTGAGTAGGAGCTGCCCCTGTGTTCCCTCACTTTCCTGTGACCCCCTGGGCTTTCCTTAGGCTTAACATCAGGCTTTTTTCCTTCCTTCAAAGGCCTACCTTCCTCCCCTTGGCTCTGCAGTGCTACACAGATTGATGCATTTATAGGACTTTTCCTGAACGAATGACCTTAGCACTGTTTGATGCAGGGGAGATGGGAGGGCAAAGAAAAGTTAAATCTCTTTTTTTTTTTCTTCAGAGTGTCAATATGGATGTATATTTAATAACTTTGTAAAATGTAAAATGATATATATAAATATAATTGTAATCTATTGTCAATTTTACTTAATAATTACAGAATTTCCAACATTAACCTGTCTAATTTTTGAAGTAAAACTTTGTAGCACAACTTGTAGGTTATAGTATAATGTAGTGTCTAGTAGCACAGCATGCGATGAAACTGAACTTTATTCCATTCTCCACGTCATTTCTGTACACTCTCACAGGACACCATGTACACCCTGACATACTAGTCACACTGTAGGAACCTACTTATTCACTGCTTTTGTGAGCAGGTCAGTAACATCTCTTTAGAAATTTATTTTTATGGGAAATCATTTTATATTTATGGGCTCAGTGAAGTGCACCTAAAATTTAAGGTTACTGTTTGTGGTTGTAACAGAAAGGCATTACAATTCAGTTCCTGACTTAGCAAGCCCACTTTATGGTTCACATCTTTTTTTTTTTTCTCATAGCAGTAGCTCTGAATTTTATTTGCCACAGACATGAGAGCTTTGGTCCTTTAGTTAAGTGCATTCACTGGGTACTAGTAAATGTAGAGAGTGTAAACAGTCACAGCTGAGCTAGGTGGGGTGATACATACTGTAGTCTCCCCACCTAGCACTCGGGAGACAGGCAAGAGGATGGCTGAGAGTTTAAGGCCAGCCTGGGCTACGTAGTGAGTTCAAGGCCAGCCTGAACTATATAGTGAGACTTTGTTTTAACAAAAGAAAGCAATCAGCAGAACTTTAAGGGTTTCAGGACTGGAGAGATGACTCAGTAGAATAAGCGCTTCCCTGGCAAGTGCAAGGGCCCAAGTTCAATCCCCGGTTCTGCCAAAACAAAACAAAACAAAAGAACAACAA